CAAATTACAAGGAAACAAACAAAACGAGAATTAGAAACGAATAATACCCAATTGAGTTTCCCTTATCCCTCACCCACCAAGTGAAACACTAAACTAAATCTTAGTAAACAATAATTTTCCACAGTGAAAATCAACAATAAGTAAAAGCTCGACCATTCCGGTGAATTGATGGACATCCCTAGAACAAGCTCAAACGCCAAACCAAGCAATTCATGTCCAATCGCAACCAGTGGCTTCATGAGTCACGAATTTTAAATAAAAATGAAACAACTTTTTCAGTTTTTAGTAATTACAAATTACAAATGCTTTTTTAGTAATTTATTATTGATGATGATGATAATAATAATAAACAAAGCTTTTTCTTAAAAAAAAAAACCAAAGACCCAAAATAACCTGTCCTAGGAACGTCGCACGACAGTGTTTGTGAGTGGCGAAATCTGTGAACAGCGGTTGTGCAGAGGCGAGAATAGCATAAACAAATTTCGAGTCGCTTGGTCTCTCTCTGAAAAACGACGGAAACAGAAGCACAATCTTATAGGAAATCCAAATCGGCAAAAACAGTGGGCAACGGAATGGGGAGGAGCCAAATCCAAATCCTTTCAAACGTCTTCATTTCTATTGCTGCGCATAATAATCAGAAGAAAGAGAAACGCATAGGAAATGACTGGTGAGTGGTGAGAAACCAAGACGAGGAGCAGACTGGTGAGGATTGAGGAATAGCGGCGACGAAGAACGGGGAGAAAACGAAGGGGAGCTGCTAACTGAAGTTTAGAATTAGGGCAAATAAAAGACAATTTAATTTTTGTACTTTTATTTTTAAGTATAAAAAAAAATTAAAATTTTAAATATTAAAAATAATAACCCGTCGGGCCAACCCGGCCCGACCCTTTATCAACCCGTTTTATTTCATATGTAAACGGGGCGGGCTACATTGGGTTAGTGGGTTGAGATTCATAACCCAACCCGCCAACTTGAGTGGGTTAAACGGGCTGGTCCGACGGGCTCAGCCCATATTGCCAGCCCTACACTCAACTATAGCTCAAATTGATCGGTGGAATGGATTCATTGGGTGATTTACAATCAATTTCATGTGGTGGACTTTGTGTTTTGGTTGAATATTGAAGGAGGAATCAAGAAAAACAAACTCAAACCCTAACCCCCTCCATGAGAGCAACTCGGCCAAGAAGAGAGAGAGGAAGGAGGAGCTGAAGTGAATAGTGTAATTTTAAGTGAAGTGGACCTTTTTAACCGGTTGTTTCTCTATCGCGTATTTTACTTAACTGACCCGGAACTAACTTAAAGTTACAGACATATTTTTATTTTTCTAAACTTATTTACATTAATTTTTATTTCCTAAGGAACAATATTCTTAATTTACAGTACCGTTTCTGCACCGTTTTTGACGAAATGCACTGTGGTTCATTAATTGTGAACTGTTTACATACGAAACTTAAAACTTATAAACTTATTATTCTTGGGTCTATTTTGACTTGCTTGGCATATATTGGACTTTCTTATTCTCATTTCATCAATTATTTGTTTCTGGACTCTACCGGTTGCTTAAACAGCAGTATAAAATACCCGGTAGAAAACAATATTCACGAGATTTTCATGAAAAGTGACAGACTATACAATTTTTCATTCTGAACTCATATTTGGCGTCAGAATTGTCAAATTATGTCTCAAAAATTATTTTGCTCATTTAAGCTCTACCGGTTAATTCACAAGACTGCAATTTATCCGACAGAACGTACTGTTCATAACCTAGTCATGAGTACAGTCAAAATACTCGAAATCACTCACTGAATCTAATTTTGGCATTTAAATCCTTAAATTACAAATCCACTCATAAAGATAAAATTATATTTAAACAAAATTTTAAAGGGACGTGATTACCCAAAAAAAAAAAATTAAAGGGACGAATTGTTGTCCTATATATTAGAGAAATCCATTGATTCCTTACTTGTGAGATATATGATTCTGCGTCAACAAGAAGCACAATAGACTCCAATTGTTGAATTTAATTTAATTAGATTTCGCGGCCCAGCATTTTAGAACACTTACTAGTTTGGAAGATAACACTGTATTTATTTCATTTTTTTAATACAAGAAAATAAAAAATTGTCCCAATAAAACTCAAGAGTCAAGACTAATAATTGGCGGATCCAGAAAATTAATGACTGGGTCTAGTTTAGATCTAGATCTGGACGGATTGTGACTCAACTGGACCGATGATGGAGGAAGAAGAAAATGTTCCAACTTCTAGTAACGGAGATTGAGGTTTAAGAGGAGATGAATAATTATGTATATGCAAATGATGGGTCTGAAACAGAGCTATCTGCTGTTAGGTTTGGATAATAAAGGTTTAGGAGAAAAAAAAGCTCAAGGAAAAATAAAATAGAAGGAGAAAAATTAAAGGGCAAGATATCGTAAAAAACAACTAGTATGTTGATCCAATTGTTATATTTATTTCTATCTTTGTATGGTTATGATCCCCATATTTAAGTAAAAACATTAAATATGAGAAATCATAACCATACAAAGGTGAAAATAAATATAAAGTATTAAATATGGGGAATCATAATCATACAAAGATGAAAATAAATATAACCGTTGGATCAACATAATCGATCTAACGGTGAAATTGATTGGTAGTAACATTGGTAATAACTCTAATTAATTGTTATATTCTCCTACCTCAAAATTAAATTGGAAAAACTTGAATTTTAAAAGAAGAATATTTTTGTATTATTACATCATATTTTAACGGTGGACACTTATCCCCCTTCTCTTGTACCTCCATCCGCCTCTAACCAGTACGAATCAACCCTTAAGCTTTATTTTTTTTCTTTGAGTGATGTTGCTGTACATGGAAACAAAACGACATATGCAACTTGAAGAACTCTTCTTTTTGTGTTTAAGAAAAAAAAGAAAAAAAAAACACTTTTTTCCTCTCTCTCTTTTATTTAATAAAACCAAAGTATTAATCATGGACAGTATTTCGGAGGTAATATTCATTTGAGGGAAATGAAATACTTTGACGAGTCCACAAAAGTTACTTAATTTTATTTCCAGAGTAATCAAAACGAATAAAATACAAAGCACAAATGCTGAAACAGTGAATCTAATCTAATCAGGACGTATTTAAGTTACAATAATATTATGAGCATAACTGTAATAGTTAGAAAGTCTGAGAAATATAATATCGTTCTCGAAACAAATTAAAAAATCCTGAAAGTTCAAGTTAATCAAGAAGAAACAATATAATACAGAAGTTCACAACTTGCACTAGTTTTGAATTTATTTTTCATATAATAACATTACATTCAGGTTCATATTAAGATTTTAAAAATAATTAATTTTGATGGGTGTGAAATTTCTTTACACACACTGCCAAATCTTGTTACCAAATCAATAGAGAAGTTTAACTACCTTAACCAATACATAAGATGCTAAACTTTTTAGGTCTTCATTTTTTTTAACTTTGATCTTTGTTTTACGGGGAAGGTTATATTTACAAACTTTTTATTTAGAAACTCCTACAAATTATATTATCTCTGACCGGTCATACACTCTTGATTGAAGTCTGACCAATCATACTTAATGTTATTAAAACCGGCCCGATCATTTACCCGGTCGAGGTACTAGGTCACTGGTTCAACCGCATGACCCGGTAATTATATGTAATTTTATAATTTATATTAAAAAATTATAAACATACTCAAATATCTAAAAAAAATGAATAAAATTTCAAATATTTTAGTATGAAAAATAATAAATCACATATTATTATACAATAAAGGATCAAACAAAAATATAATGATCGTGATACGGGGCTTTAGGTTCAGAAAATGACATCCCTAACTATAAATCAAATCAATTTTTTTGCATAGTGCATAATTGAGATAATATTAGTATTGTAAATACATAACTTATGTAAGTTAATAAGCAAAAATATATTCAAATATCTCTATTATGATTTTTATTTTTATTTTTAATTTGGAATTTTTTTGTGACCGGGCCGGGTCATCGGTTTTCATGAAAACTGGCCGGGTCACACCGGTTCTGATGCATGCAGTGGCGGAGCCAAGATTTTATTTTAGTTGGGGCCAAAAAATTTGACACATCAAATTATCAAAACTTTATCATGATTACAAAAATCTATTAGGAAAAAAATTTACCATGAATTCTAGCATATTTATCTAAAAAGCCATCGAGATGCTGCATAATTTCATAATTTATCAAGAGAGAGTGTATAAAGTCATAAAGACGATTCAAATATTTAAGGAAACATGAAAGACCAAAACAGACAAAGGCACTCCACTCTAACAAACATATCTTCACACAATAAAATCAATCACAGGGAAAACTAAAAAAAATTCAGAATAAAAAAGCACCAATTTAAGAGCAAATATCATTAGGGTTTCTAACTTTGAGAGAACAGCAAGCAAATACGAAGACACTGTTGAAGTTTCTAACTCCACTCAGAATGTATTAGGCTATTAGCTGAGAGAGAAAGAGCATAGATGAAGTCAAATTTTAACTTTAGAAAGGGCTAAATAATAATTACTTATAAAATTATATATAATAATAATTTATGAAAAAAATCAGCAGGGGCCTAGACCCCATCTAACGAGAACGTGGCTATGCTACTGGATGCATGACTGGTCCATTGCTTCAACCGGACCGTTTATATGACCGGTTTACCGATTCTCGAGTCGACCCGACCGGGTCGGTGTGAGTTTAATAACACTTCTTAGTATAGTTTGTAAATTTATAAGAAAAAAAAATTGTAAATATAAGATTCTCTTTACTTTGTGTAAAACATATATGTGGACATTTTATTCAGTTAAGGATTGTAACGCAATGTTGTCCGACTTCATACTTCTTGGAGGACCACTGAATTTCCCAAGATGTCCATTTATGCCAGACTTACTCCAACCATATAATTTATAAATACTTCCGGTGGATGTTAATGCCTTCACATCCTCGACCCATCTTCTTGCATGATCATGGATTCCTCTCCCTCCAATATTAAATTCGCTTTGCTTTGGTTGCTATGTGTATTCATGTTCAACTCAATTATGTGCAGTTTGAAAGTTCACTGCAACGAGAAGGACATGAACACACTCCTACACTTCAAACAAGAAGTCATAGATCCTTCAGGCTTGCTCTCCTCTTGGTTCACTGAACATGATTGTTGTGAGTGGACAGGAGTTCACTGTGACAATATCACGGGCAGAGTTACAGAGCTCAATCTCCCTTGTCATACAAATCACTCTGTAGTCTTTGTTTATGGAAAGGAGGAGGAGGACAAATCACACTGCTTAACAGGTGAATTCAATATTCTATCTTTACTGGAACTTGAATATTTAAGTTACTTGAATTTGAGAAACAATGCCTTCAAGGTTATCCAATGTAATTCAATGGGTAGCCATAAATGTGATAACTTGTCAAGAGGTACACCTCCCCATCTGTGTGGAAACTCCTCCAACCTCCATTATCTTGATTTATCATCATATAATTCTGATATTCTCATTGCTAATCTCCGTTGGATGTCCCGTCTTTCCTCCTTGCAATATCTTAATCTTGGTGGTCTTGATCTTCATAAGGAAATTGACTCGCTTCAGTCAGTGACCATGCTCCCTTCACTTGTAGAGTTACACTTGAAGACCTGTCAACTTGAAAACATCTATTCGTCTCTTCAGTATGCTAATTTTACTTCACTTCAAGTTTTAGATCTTTCTGACAATCATTTAATATCCGAGTTTCCTAGTTGGTTATTCAATCTCAGTTCTCACATCTCTGATATTGACCTTAGTCAAAATAAGATAAATGGCCAACTATCTAAAATATTGCCAAATCATGGAAGCATCAAATCCTTGGTTTTGTCTCATAATAACCTGGATGGATCCATTCCATATTGGATAGGGCAACTTGAACAACTACAAGATCTTGATCTTTCTTTTAATTCATTTTCTGGTCCAATTCCAACAAGTTTCGGAAATCTATCATCCTTGATTGTATTGGAACTCGAGTCAAATCATTTGAATGGAAATCTTCCAGAAAGTCTTGGGCAACTCTTCAACTTGGAGATCATGGCAGTTAGGGATAATTCCTTGACAGGAATTGTGTCTGAACGAAATTTATTATCTCTTTCGAATTTGAAGCAACTTTCCTTGAGCTCGCCAGCCTTGGGCTTTGATTTTGATCCTGAATGGGTCCCTCCATTTCAATTGAAATATATTTCGTTGGGATATGTGACTAACAAACTTCCTTCATGGCTATTCACACAAAATTCTCTCAAACTTCTAAGAATTGTAAACTCACGTGCTTCATTTGAACCTCTTGACAAGTTTTGGAACTTTGCTACTCAACTTAGAATTTTTGTCTCTATTCAACAACACAGTCAACGGGGACATGTCAAATGTGTTGCTAAACTCGACCTTTGTTTGGTTGGTTTCCAATAATTTGGGAGGTGACTTGCCTCGATTATCACCTAAAGTGGTTGTTTTGAATTTAGATAACAACTCTATGACGGGATCCATTTCTCCTCTATTGTGCCACAAGATGGTAGAAGAAAGCAATTTAATGTACTTAGAACTGAGCTATAATCTTTTATCTGGAGAACTCACGGATTGTTGGAATGACTGGAAATTGTTGCGTCATGTTGGTTTGGGGAAGAATAACCTAACAGGAATGATTCCTCACTCCATGGGATCCTTGTCTAACCTCAATTCATTGGATTTAAGTGGCAGTAAGTTCTTTGGAGAAGTACCTTTGTCTCTAAAATATTGCTAGAATCTTTGGATCCTTAATCTAGGTGAAAATAACTTCTCTGGAGCTATACCAAGCTGGATAAGGAGCGCAAAAGCTCTTCGACTGAGCTCGAACCAATTCAGTGGCAATATCCCCACACAGATATGCCAACTTAAGTCACTAATGGTCATGGATTTTGCAAACAATACATTGTCAGGACCAATACCCAACTGCCTCCATAACATTACAGCCATGCTTTATGATCATGCTTTAATTGGTAAGTTCGGCATTATTGTTCAAATACCTGGTGATGAACCAATACTCGTTGGTTCAGGTATTAAGATGCCCATAAAAGGCAATGAATTATTGTACTCGACTTTGATGTATGCTATTGATCTTTCAAGCAATAATTTGTCTGGAACAGTGCCTTCAGAGATTTTCATGCTGACTAGATTGCAATCAATGAATTTGTCCCATAATCAATTAGTAGGGACGATACCAGATGAAATTGGAAACTTGAAACAGTTGGAGTCCATTGATCTCTCAAGCAATCGTCTCTCTGGACAAATTCCACAGTCCATGTCTGGTTTGTCTTTTCTTGGTGTCTTGAACCTGTCCTTCAACAATTTCATGGGCAAAATCCCATCGGGGACCCAACTTGAAGGTTTCACAAATCTTAGTTATATGGGTAATACTGAACTTTGTGGACCTCCACTTACCCAGATCTGCCCACAAGATGAAAAACCTCATAATACAAATCCGATGGGAAAAAATGATGATGATGATGATGATAAATCTGAAATATATTCATGGTTCTATATGGGCTTGGGAATCGGATTTGCATCGGGATTTTGGGGAATTTTTGGCCCCATATTATTCAACAGGAGATGGAGGCATGCTTATTTCAGATTTCTTCACCGTCTGTATACCATGGTGATTCAAAAGATGAATTCCCTTTATTAAAAATATAAGAGATTGCAATTGTGGTAAGTAAAGAAGCTATTTTTTTAAGCTCTAAACTGACTCTGATTTTACTGCATAGGTATTTATATTGTTTAAATCAAATATACTATATCTACTATCCAGAAATTGAGTGCCTTTTACTCTCCTTAGATTAAAAGTATATCGTCTTCCATTTACTTGCCTATATATTCCATTGTATGTGTGCGCGTTGTTTTGTAGGTATCTTTCATGCATACTCTTTTAGCATGCCAAAACTCCATGTTTTTGAGTCATCAATTATAGTGTAATGACTTAAATGAAGGCACAAATAACATTTCTTTTCGCATGCTCTAATTCCTGAAATCGACATTAGTATTGCACTTTTGATAGTAATATCTGAATTATTTTCAAACTAGAAATCATGTAACTTGTTATTTATCCTTGCAAATTCTGTACAAATTTTGCAGGTCCTTGATGTCCATGCTTCAACAAGTTACTTCACCCAGAGGTTTTGCAAGAGGCCACAAGGTTGCTTTTGTTATTGAAGATATACAAATAAGAAAAGTGGCTTGTGAGTTCTTGTTTTTATTAAGTTAGCTCACTGGAAACACCTCTATTTCCTCTGTAGAATTTGTGTTCTGTGTTAAGTCTACAATGTTTGTTTATACTAAATAATGATAATGAAGATGCTTTTATACTAGTTCAATTATTTAGCATATCATGTTGTACCTATGAATTTGTAATTACATCTAAAACATAAAAAATAAAACTTAAGCAAGAGAAGGAATTTAAAAAAATAAAATAAAATTTTGAAGGATATGAGTACCATTGAAGATCTCTCTAAAGAAGTTTCTGACAGTGAGATACAAATACAAGGACTGATATCACTCCTTGGATAGTTGGATTCTTCATATATATATATATATATATATATATATATATATATATATATATATAGAGAGAGAGAGAGAGAGAGAGAGAGAGAATCCAATGCTAAACTGATATACGATTTAAGATTAGATCCTTCCGTGTATACTTATTTGGGGTGCAAACAGCATAAAACTTGCTTCAATTTCTGCCGAGGTCAACAGTGTTAGAGAATGTTGTTTGAGTCCTTGGACCTCATTATGTCAAACTCCATAGCCACAATTATTTAACTAAGAAGTTTGTACCATTATCTTTCATTTATATGTAGTTCTCACACCTCAGCTTTTGATGTTTGCTTGCTATCACACTCTCTTTCTCTCACTTGAACATTTATAACTTTCTTCCCACTATTAACGTTACCTGAAATAATTTAGTGAAACTAAGGAATGCTAGTCTTTCTACCTACTCATCTTCATTCTCAACAACCTAATTGCAGTCTGAATTGGATATCATATGGCTTATCTTCTCATTATACTTGTGAATCCCCTGATTGGACTTTGGGGTGTCATAGCATTTAATTCAGAACCAGAGGCACATGATTTAAGAGTGTAATCTTTTCTGTATTGTGGAAACTTTTCTGTATCATCCAATCTTTTGTTAATCTCCATGCTCGCCAAATATAATGACCCTATATGATAAATCTTAATTAGAGATTTAATATAAGGATTTAAATGCCATAATTAGATTCAATGAGTGATTCCGAGTATTTTGATTGTAATCATGACTATGTTATGAACAGTGCGTTCTGCCGGAGAATTTACAGTTTGTGAATTAACCGGTAGAGCTTAAAAGAGCAAAATAATTTTAGAGACGTAATTTGATAATTCTGACGACAAATATGAGTTCAGAACGAAAAATTGTATAGTCTGCACTTTCCGTAAAAATCTCGTGAATAGTGTTTCTACCGGGTATTTTGTACTGCTGTTTAAGCAACCGGTAGAGTCCAGAAATAAATAATTGATAAAATAAGAATAAGAAAGTCCAATATATGCCAAGCAAGTCAATATAGGCCCAAGAAAATGATAAGTTTATAAGTTTTAAGTTTCATAAGTAAATGAAGTACAATTAGTGATTCACAGTGCATTTCGTCAAAAACGGTGCAAAAACCATACTGTGAATTATGAATATTGTTCCTTAGGAAATAAAAATTAATGTAAATGATATTAGAAAAAATAAAAATATATTTGTAGCCTTGAGTTAGTTCCGGGTTAGTTTAAGTGAAAATACGCGAAAGAAAAATACCCGGGTAAAAGCCACATGTGCTATAAAACATAAGTGACTTATGTGATCACTATTCACTCAAAGAAAAACACTTTTTTCTCTCTCCTTGGGGCCGATCAGCAGCTATGGAAGGGGGGTTAGGGTTTTGGTTTTTGCTTCTTTGATTTCTCCTCCAATATTCCACCAAATCTTTCACCCAATATACCAATCTCATAGGAAATCATCCAAGGAAGCTATTCCACCCCTCCATTTGAGCTGATTTCGTTTGTGGAGGGAGATATTCATCACTCCATTTTCGGATTACTATTCATCCAAGGTGAAAAAGGGAGTTTTTGGTGGAGTCTTGCTTGTTGGTCACCTTCTAGACCTTGTATAAGCTTTTGGAGGTAATGAACCTCTATTTTCATGCTATTATTTTGATGATTTGAGTTATAAAAGTTATGAGTATGTTTTGGTAGGAAAGCATTGTATATTAAACTTTGATTTAATGATGAATCTTTGATGTCGTGGATTTAAGAAATGAAAATAAGCATTTGTATGTATGTAAAAAAATTAGAAAAAAATCCTATGCTTTCCTCTACATGTTCGGCCATCATAGGTGAAGAGTAGGTTGTTGTGCAAAATTTTTATCTTAAGTATTAGGAAGGTTTAATGTGTAGGAATTAAGTGGAAATTTGATAAATTAGTGAGAATGCCAAAGTGGGAAAAATTATATGAAATATGCCCTTAGGTTTAGGCCTTGTGGGGCTTTGGAGGGACTTTATGCTCCAAAAATTAAGTTGGAACCTTATGAAAACATGTATTTGTATGTGTAAGTTACATGTAAGTGAAGAAAAAGAACCTTTGTCTATGTCCTTGTAGTGTTCGACCTAGAGGGCGGTATAGGGGTATATTTTGTTACATTTTATTGTAAATAAAATGTGTTGTAATTCATTGTATAAAATTGATGAGTTAAGAAGTGAAATGATTTGAAAAATGGTTGAAAAATACTTTGATTTCCTAAGGGTATGTCCGCGGCTTTTGAAGTAAAATGGCATGAATGATGTTGAAAATTCTCAAGTGAATACTTGATTAAAATTAAAGAATGCTAACGAGTATAAGGTGGTCTAGACTTGTGTATTGGCATAACATTGACAAAAGTATAAAGAAAGGAAGATAAGCGATAAAATGTATGCCTTATGGAAAGTCTAGGCATGATAGCATTTTATTGATTTGTATTTGTGGATTCTTGCTCTAGGTGTACCTAGGGACTAAAAAGGATCGGAATCTCTTGAAGACATATAAGTAACTTGTGCAACAAGTAAGCGTATTGGTAAAGCTTCAAGAGGTAAGCTCTATGTTTAAGGAGACTTTTCCTGCTTGAGTGCTCCACCATGGTTAGTGAACTATGGTTGGACTGTATGACTGTTATTTAGATGCTTTGTATAGATGCATTCATATAGAGTTATTCGATAACATGATATGTTTTGCTCTGATATGACTTCTGTAATATGATTTCTGTAACAATCTCTGGCCATTGATTGTATAGTACCCGGATGTCCGCTTTGGGGTCCTCCCTCGGGACTGATGGTGTACGCCTCTGATATGTCTGGTTCCGCTTTGGGGTCTCCCTCGGGAACACGTGCGTTGATTTCCGCTTGGGGTCCTCCCTTGGGAATGACGGCGCACACCTCTGATATGATATGGATAAATGCTCTGTTCTGTTATGATATTTGTTATATGTTGTATTCGTATACTCTGTATCTGACTTTCGTGCAGGAGTGAGCCAGGAGTATGGAGAATTCTCTATAAACTTGGAGCTTATTGAGATTTGTAATCTCGCCCCTTGTTGGGGACATATTTTCAAGTGCCCAGATTCCCGGTGAGTCCTCACTAGGCAGGGACGCGACACGTGGCTGAGGCAGTTGACGGATCGGATTTTGAGTGGCTATAGGCTACTACTTTTTGGAAGTATATTCATGTCATTTTGTATTTCCACCTTTGATGGATCATGACATTGATCCTTTATTTTGTATATGGCATGTATATGTTTTGTACATGTCTGTCAGTTTGATGCATGTACATTTGAGTATTCAGGCACGGTATATGATGATGTAATATTCAGATATGTTTACGTGTTGGATTGCATGCTGTTAGATATAGTGGCACTGAGCCAAGTTATGCATGCGCCCATGGATGGGCATTTGATTATATTTGTATAAACTGTTTATCAGGAAATGCTTCTGAGTGGGATTGAAAAATCCCCAATTGTCCGATTTATAGAGGAAACTCTGTCCGATTTTCGTTTACGACGAATGAGAATTTAAAAAGAAAAAGAAAAAGTTAGCTCGTATTTTCATAAGTTAAGTCTTCCGCTGTTTTCTGTTTTATCATATGTATGTTAATTGAACCGGCTCGAGACGAGGATGTTACACCACTCATAGTGATGATGCAGATGATGGTTCTCTAAAGATTGGATGAATCAAACTCGTTTCACACCAAGGAAAAGGAACTCTTACATAGATTTGTTGGCGAATGAAGCAATTATCTTAGGAGACAAGGTTATTATTTATCGCATAATGCTCACAGAATCGCTTCATCTGTTTACTTTAGATTCATCTCGTATTTTGTTTGTTTTTATTTAGCATTTTTATTTTAATTGGGCTACGCCCTCCTCTGTAAAAAAAATGTTGATTCACTTTTTGTGAATTTTAATTACTACCCTTTTTCCGGCGGCCGAATATATTAGTCTTTATTAGATTGATATAGCAATCAATATATGATCAGGTAACCATTGATTGTATACATGGAAATATAAAATGAAAAACTAACATGTGTCAGGGAGTGTTATCATCAACCGAAAAAGGCAAAAGATGCGGGTGAGGTGTCTCAAACCAAACTAAGGCGGACATCATCATCACGTGTAGGGTGCGAAGCTTGTCTCAAGGCTTTTAAAAATAAATAAAAAAATACCATGTGGAGAATTACATACTTCACTGACAAACATAACCATGAGATGGTCTCCAAAAAGTGTTTCATATTTGAGAACACATAAGAAGTTGTCCCATATCTACCGTGAGCACGCGTCATTTAAGAAGCTTTTCGATGAGCAAGGAAGCACGGACACTCCAAAAAATAGAGAGTGTCGTGTCCAACACGCTCCGACACGGTGTCCGACACGCGGTTAACATTCCCGACACGTTGACTATTTCGACACGCGAATTTGACTGTGTCCAACACGTTCCAACACGATCAAATGGCATTTTTGTAAAAAAAAAAAATTTAAAAAAAATATATTAATAAAGCTTCCACCTGATCATATCAATTTTATTTTTTTGTCTTTTTTTCCTTTAAGTAGATAAGAGATCATCTCAGCATCACTGTTGTCAATTCCTATTACGCTCTTGTTGTATCTCCTTCTCTCTAATCTGATTTGATCTCTCTATCTGATATTATATCTCTCTCATCCCAGTTCCTATTTTTTTTATTAAAGCTTCCACATTTATAACGTGTTGATGGGTATTATTAGTTTAGTTTCATTTTTTTGTTAAATTATTGAATATTAAATGAAATATACGCTATATAAATTAAAAATATTATTTAATATTAAAACGTGTCCCAACGTGTCGAAATCCATATTTTTTTAGGATTGACGTGTCGAAGTATCGTGTCGTGTCGTGTCACGTGTCGCATGTTGTATCGGTGTTACATAGTCGATGAGTGTATTTGGAGGTCCAAGAGCACTCAAGAGTTTGAAGACAAGTGGAAACATCTTCTTGTTCAATATGGTCTTGATGGAAATGAGTGGTTGCATGTACTTTATTCAAATAGATCATCTTGGATACCAATATTTAATAGTTCGACTTTCTTTGTTGGTAGGAACTCTACTCAGTGCAGCGAAAGTATAAGGTCATTCTTTGATAGTTTTGTTACATCTAGCGCAACCTTAAAGGAATTTGTGGAGAAATATAACCAAGCAGTAGATGTTCGCTATGAATCATTCAAAAAAGAAGAATTTGAATCTAAGCACAAAGAAAGGCTTTTGCTGTTTTATATGCCATTGGAGGAGCATGCAGCTAAAGTGTATACCCATGCAATATTTTGAAATTTAGTAGTGAGCTTTCTCTTGGTTTACAATTCTCTAAGGAGAAACTTGACAATAGTGGTGAATGGGTTACGTATAGAGTTTTTAATAAGAAAGACAAAAAAGATTCTGCAATAGCTGACATGAAATTGGAAAGTATAGAAGTTAGGTGTTCTTGTCATTATTTTGAATTCATGGGAATCCTATGTCGACATATTCTTGCTATATTTTTTTATCGAAAATGCTAAGCAGATCCCTGGACACTTTATCTTTCGTCAATGGAGCAAAGAAGGAGATGTTATACAAAGTACAAACAGGGACATATGTACCACTGATGGAGATAGACTACTTCAGAGCTTTCCCCTACACTATACATTCCAAGCTTAATGAGCTTGCATATAAGTCAGACGATGCATTTAGATTCATTTGTGTTTGTATTGTGTAACATCCCGAGCGCTGACGAGGGCGGGGAGTGATCGCCGATGCAAAGAGGCACGGACAAGGAGCGGCTCCTGACAGGCTTCCAGCGGGGGGTTACATGCATGAATAAATCGAATCGACACCCGAAAGAGAGGGATTCCAAAGACTGTGCAGGAATGTGACTGCACAGTTTGGGATAGCTTATAAGGATTAATTGGTACTACCTATACTAACAAGATGCATCCCTCCTGGGAAGTTTTCCCGGGAAGTGTGCGAGTGAAGAAAAAGCACACTGAAAAGTCTCGTGTTAGTATGTGGGGATAGTCGTTGATTCTTGAAGCGGCCGGGCGTTACAAGTGGTATCAGAGCAGGGCCTCTCTTCCAGTACGGTGTGGTTCGAGGACGAACCAAGCGGAAGCTGGTGGGCATCTAACATCCTGAGCGCTGACGAGGGCGGGGAGTGATCGCCGGTGCAAAGAGGCACGGACAAGGAGCGGCTCCTGACAGGTTTCCAGCGGGGGGTTACATGCATGAATAAATCGAATCGACACCCGAAAGAGAGAGATTCCAAAGACTGTGCAGGAATGTGACTGCACAGTTTGTGATAGCTTATAAGAATTAATTGGTACTACCTATACTAACAAGATGCATCTGCTTTTCGGTAGCCCGGATCGGAAGAACTCTACAGTTAAGCGTAAGCACTTGGAGCAATTCTAGGATGGGTGACCTCCTGGGAAGTTTTTCCGGGAAGTGTGCGAGTGAGGAAAAAGCACACTGAAAAGTCTCGTGTTAGTATGTTGGGATAGTCGTTGATTCTTGAAGCGGTCGGGCGTTACATATTGATTCTCTTTCTAAAGCTGCAGAAAAGTTTTCAACATCTAATGAGAGTATTGGTCTATGATGAACTTGAAGGATCCTAACATTATGCAAACGAAAAGGCGAAAAAGAGATTCCCAAAACACTTCACATGGACGCAGGATTCGTAGTGGGATTGAAGAAGCATCAAAGCATACTAATATTTGTGAAAATTGCAAGGAATGTGGACATAATAAGCGTACATGCAAAGAAATGAATCTATATTCACTTTAGTTTCGATCATGTTATTTATTTCAGAAATTAGGATGTTTATAGAATTGATTTTGTTAGCTTTAATCATGTTGGTTTCAATTTGGACAATAAGTATTTATTCATTATTTTAATGTCATTCTACACTTTTATATTGAGTTTTAGAATACTCTTCAACTGTGTTGTAGAGGAGAACATACTTCTCTACGCATATCTTGTGTTATTTTGTAAATCAGTTTTGCATTTTCATGTGTAGTTATAACTGGCTCCGTATCAATTTGATGCTTTCTATGATTAACACATTCCTCAGGTTGCCATGAATGCTGGGGCTTTTAAATCTTTGAATTGTTCCTCAATATAACATCTAAAGAATTGTTGGCTTCCTTGTAAAGTGAATGCTTTCTCTTTATTTTTCACATTGCTTCTTAATAGGAGGACAGGATGTATGTGTATAGGACAGGGTGCACTTTATAAAGTGAAATACAGAGTGCAGACTTTTACAAAGTACAAATGATCTTACAGCTATCTATGAATTTGTAAAAGTCAACTCCCGTGTTTTACTCATCAATAGTTAACCACTTGCACTTTACTTTAACATGCACCTTGCACATTAGAGGATCCAGTCCGTTGAAGTATGCTTAATTTGTTGTTTAACTTTGGATCTACTCTGAGTGCTCAACTTTAGTTTCTGGTATGTTGTGCCCAGTTTTTCTTTATTAACAACAAGTATGGTGTCTTCATCCAAGTGTTAATAAAATTAACTTTTCTACTACTCATTTATGTGCAATTGTTTTTACCAGGAAGCTTCTTTAAATGCCTTGAATGATGAGACTCCACGAACAACAAATAAATTCTAAACAGTGATGTATTAGCCAAGTTTCTATCAGAATCTGGTATACAACAGTATAATCCTAAGGTATAGCCGTATAATAATTTAATGTGCAAATTCTGGGAACTTGTATAATGGTGTGTTACTATACTATAATGCTCATTATTCTTAGCACCCGTGACTATTACTATTTTCTTTTTCCAATTTGTGATATTATGTACTCCTTTGTACACCGTTTTCGTTGACAATAAGTGATAATCAGTACAAGTTCTTATGCTCTGATTCCTTTTTTTCTTCCCTGACCTCCACACAAAACAAATTATTATATATAATTCGGCTTCTTCAGGAAACAAAATGTGAGAACCAGCACTTTAAGATTCAAATATCAAAGCACAGTGCAAAAAATTAATATGCAGAGAAGGCAGGGAGCAAAGTAAATACGAAAAGCAATTTCATTGCACCATCATGCATGACTATTTACATTATATTTATAGTGTGAATAAATAAAAATTATTCATTTCTCTTCTAATTTTCTCTTTAATATGTTCTTCAATTTAAAAAAAAAAATCTGAATTTTATACAATCAGTGAATTACACTAGCTTCAGTCATTCTATATGATCAATGAATTCATGCAGTTATTCCAAATGATTGGTTTCTCTAACAGACAGGAGAATCACAATTTGGTTTGTCAGCTTCAAGAAATTCTAAGCCAGTCCAATGTCAAACAGCTGCACAATATTCCTAATCGACGCTCCCACAAATCCAACATATTATGCCTAAAAGTCACACTGTAAAGGAAGTTCTTGTGCTGAACCCAATTCATATAACTTTCTCATCAATATGAAACAGATAAACATTAACTATTTGCATGCAATGTCTTCGATTGCAT